AATTCTGATTCAATGTTCTGACGGCACTTGACCCCCGTTCGAAAGGTTATTATGTAAGGATTTTAATGGTGTCTTTTGTTTTAAAGAGGGAGGGGTAAATACTTGCCGAGATATTCACTTCAGAAAAATTGGATCGTAATGTAATGCGAAACCGGCCTGTCGAATTGATCTGAATTGATCCTTAATTTAACTGGTTTATGTCCGGAAAAATTTTTTCGACCCTTGTTTTGGAATGTCCGGAAAATTTTTTTTCAACATTCTCCCCCCCCCTTGCTCGCCAACATTTTGGGAAAAATAGTGACAAAAAAAATTTCCTGCAGGGCATCATTGGCTTTCGCAGGGCAATTCTAGCAGACACACCCTAATTAATGGATGAACCCACATTATATCACCACTATAAAAGCCTCACAAAGGGGAGCATTTTTTCTTGTCTAAAAGCTGGGATTCCAATAAATTGCACTATAAAATTACGAATATGTATAAAACACGTATGCAAACACTTCTATAAGCATTGATAATCTTCAAGCAAAAATTCGTTTCTTCGTTAGTTCGGCCAAGCTTTGTCATTATTAATACATATAGAAATAACAGATATAGGCTAGAATGCGTGGCCTACTCCTATCTTTTCTCAGCAAAAGAATTGTCCACACTCCTCAAGCAAGGAAGTTGGGAGTGCGAATTGGGTTTTTTCAGCAAAAAAATTTATATCGAGCTGAGACTTAAAATGGTAAAAAAATTTTGTAAAGAAAAAAACACATTCCAGTTCATGGTTTTATTTACGAAATGGAATAGTTCTGAACAGAATATACACAGAAATCGTCGTTTAAGAATATATTTTCAACGTTGTTGTACAAGTCACAACAAAACACGAAAGATCAAGACAAACTCAAACTCAATAGGCATGTTCTACAACTATTTCAGCTCTTTTTACAATATAAATAATATAAATGGAGTTCAATAATCTTTTTAACTTACGCAATTACTTTTTATATTTTTCTATACGTTCCTTCAAAATCTATCCCCAAACTAGAAATTTAACAATAGTCTAGGACCTGTATATGAGTTTGTATGCATTTCATTTAGGACAGATAATCGCAAGTGTTTTAGGGCAAGTTGACCATGACGGTCGACATAGTAACGCTGCCGGAACCCCAATCCGGGACGAAACGTCCGAAACTGACCACACCCAAAAACGACGCTCTCGCGATAGTGCTATCTACCAAACCATAAAAGCTTTGTCTATTCTGAGGTGCTTATATGGTTCAGAGATGGTGCTTTTAGGGGTGGTCATTGGTAAGTGTGAAATGCCTAGCACTGATATTTCACAAGAAAATCATCATGCAATACTCATAGTCAAACGTCAATTTGTGACTCACAAATTCAGATAAACAGCAGTGGACCTATATCACTTTTTTTCTTAAATCTTTTTTATAGAAACATAATTGGTACTTATTTAAGTATATTATCACTGCTTTGCTGTAAAATAGTTAATACTTTGTGACTGAAATAATAATTTGAAATGTACCTACCTCCTGCAAATGGACGTTTTGGCCAAATTCTCCACTTTACTCCGCTGTTTATCGCCAATATCGTTGAAATCTATCCAAGTATCTACGGCAGCAGAGACAGAATGGTATCAAGCACATTTTACACAAGTTTTAAATAGGTTTCCAGCAGATCCGAGCTGTTTAACCATCGACAAGGTAAAATCACAACTTTGTCCAATTCGGCGCCATTTTGTCATCCCATGTCGGTTGTAAACATTTCGGCCTCGTTATTCTTCCATCCAAGCCATTTTCATTCCAATAATAATAAATTGAACCCTTTGTTAAGGGTATCAAATAACTATGCAAACAAAATAGAAAAAATGCAGCAATTTATCACCCTGTAAAATCTTGCTTACGAGTCTTTCAAAACATTCCGTACAAATCTCGTGTGGCAAAGCGACAAGGCCGTGACAGGGGGTGAATTTTTTAACGAAGATAGAAGAAGGCTGCGTGAAATGAACTAAAAACTAAATACAATCTTACAAACGTTTGTTTTATTTCTTGTAGCGACCATATGAATATTTCATGCTATAAATTAAATGTTGATTGTTGGTCTTACAACACTGCTATTACTGCATGATTTTGCATTGCTTTAATCTTCAAAGTGTCCACCCCCTGTTGCTTTGCTACGCTAGATTTGTATGGAATATTTTGAAAGACTCGTAAGCAAGATTTTACAGGGTGCTAAAATGCTGCATTTTTTTAAGGTGGCCCACAAGTGTCACACAAGTTCCTTTCATACGACTAAACTTTTATTCATTACGACAAGTCTTTCATTTGAAGCGACCAAACTTTCTTTTGAACCGACCAAACTTTCTTTTGAACGGACCAAACTTTCTATTGAAGCGGCCAAACTTTCGTTTGAAGTGACCAAACATTCTTTTAAATAACAGCCGATTGGGAATTTTCGTGATCGCTCGGAACATGTACGGGATTTGATCGGCGAAATAAATAATATTTCCCGCCATTTTGTACATGTTGTTTAGCCACGAAGGAAGACACAGAGGTGTAAGTATTTCTGTTTTCCCTATTCTTTTTGCAACATTTAGTTTTTCTATTTTGTAAGAACAGTTGTAGTTCGAGCGAAAGATCTCAGTGTTTTTCGTTTTTAAGTATTTACTGAAAGAATATTATTTAAATGTCGATATCATAGAATGAGATTTAATAAAATTCTGACAATTATATATAGTATATAAAGTGCGTTTTGAATTCAGTTTGTTTAAGACATCATTAATGAAAACTAAGCAGGTCAATGTTAAATAACACAAAAGCGTTCGTTGTTAGGCATGCCAGCTCCATAAATATCTGCAACAAGAACTAACTACCTATAATGCATATCCGAACGAAGGGCCTTCGGCTTCGCACAAAATGTCGAATTTCTCCTTATATCTAATTTTCAGATAATTGCATCCCTGCCAGCAAAATCTTTGTTAATATTAAATATTAACAAAGCTTTTGCTGGCAGGGTATTTTATATTGCGCTACTCTTATATTGCGCTATTCTTACGACTAAAAAATACTACAAAGTTTAATACTAAGGTTCAGCACTTATATTAAAATGGGTGTACGAGCCATG